AATTTTATGTATCATATTTATAATTCTTACGTAATGATATCTCTTTTATTTTCAACAAAAATGTGTAAACATAATAACTTACAAAATTGATATAGCAAATTAAATAAATAATAATAATTTATTTTTTAGAAAAGTAAATATTATATGAGTCAAACAATCACAAAGTAGCCTAATATACATGTACATAATGAATTAATTATTTGTTTTTGTGTTACACATATCAACTAATAAATTAATTTGACATAAGAAATTAAGTATTTTTTTTTTTTGGCATGAAGTATAAGTTGCATTAGTTATATAATAACAAACTAATTTCAATTCTAAAGCATCCAAATTTTTATGTATCCAAACGTAAGAATTGGTATTAGAACTTGAATTCTAGTCAATTTTCAAGATCATCCAAACAAAAGAATTAGGATTGAATTACAATCTCAACATCTCATTTCAATTCAATACCATTGTAATTCTAATTCAATTATAATTCAATCTAACCAAACGGAGCCTTAAACTAATTGCACAAATTATGGTATTTCATCCTTACTGGAAACCTTATTTCATGCTCGTAGTGCTTCATGTGTGGTGAGCAACAAAATTGCAATTGAAGGATACAACAAAAGAATGTAAAATGAAAAAAAAAAAATTGAAATATTATCTAATTGGTACATTTCGATATCAAAGTGACTCTTTACAATAATGAAGATGCAGATTCTGATTGCATTTGAATTTAATTTGAATACTTACTTATAGCATTAAATTACTCTGCAAAACTCAATTTCTTTTACGTTTACATTGTAAATCCTAACATTATGACAAAATGGAAATACCATAAGCAAAAAAGATGATAAGACTTGTAGAGGATTAGGTCACTGATTGTTGGTTGCTTGACGTATATACTTTTGATTATCAAACAATTGAAAACATTTCTATCTTCAAACATACAAAATATATACTCCGAAGTTACCAAAAAGCTTTAATTACATATAGTAAAACTGTGCCAAGTTTTGTGATAAAAGATGATTAACCAAAATAGACCAAAAAAATTATCATTTTTATGATGGGATTTTCAGAGAGACTGATGTGGTTATTTTTAGCCCTAACATTGTTCAGAAATGGTGTCGTGAAACTTATTATTTTGGTCGGTACTGAAACCAGATGGTTTCTATTCTGCCGTTGTCATTCAATAGTAAAGCATTACCAAATGGTAACAACTATATAGATACTCTGAAGTTTTACTATGTAATTTTATTGTTTTCATAAATTTATTATTTCTCAAATTCCAGTATCTACATACAATTAATTATTTTTTAAAAAAATCGATGAGAATTTAATGTAGATGATAAAGGAGATAAGATGAGCTGCTGGTCTCTATCCACCTTATCAGAGATCACTGTATTATGTGATAGTACATCAAAAGGTAGCAAATAATATTGATCGTTTTACTCTTCCTGACATTTCATTGCTTTTGATGATTCGGGTTTTCCTGGTAATTTTGAGTAATTTACAACTTTGCAATGCGATCAAAACTAAAATAGTAGAAACATATCATTTTGTAGTCGGGAAATTTCATCATCTATTGCTAGTGATGATGTATATCTCCATTTGTCTTAAAAAAAAAATTTAATCTGGAGAGACCCAACTCAGATTTCGTTCATTGTTATTGTTTGAGTCAAAATTGTATTTTAAAGTGAAGACCGACTTGACTCAAACTAATTTCAAACGATTGTGTGATATTCTCAAAATCCAAAGTCCAACCGTTAGAATTATCTAGAGATTTCAACGCCTCTGATTCACAATAAGATTGAAAGTTCAAATGTTTGATGATGAAATCATGAATAATTTCGAGAAATAAATAAAAAGGGCCACTCAAGGCCAGCTTTATTGAATTGATGAGAAACAAATCGGCTGTGAATAGCCATAAACGTCAAACAGCTTACAAGAATTAATGCTAAAAAGTAAAAGAATACATGAAAACTCGAAGGAAATAAACGATAAAAGCTGTAAAGGAACTAAGAATATGATTTATGTCTGATGAATTGTGTCCTCTATCGTCTCTCCTTTACAGCTTTTATAGACGATCCGCCAACCCTAGTTAGAATGCAACCAAAGTCGAATCCGAAAAGGACTTCTGTTGCGGTTGAAATCCTTCTCCAACAAGGACTGTGATGTCGACGATTCCTTCTCAAATTCGAATTATTATCCGCTACTTCTTTTTTGAGCCTTAAATAATATCACTGCAGGCTTAATGATTTTATTTCCTCTCATTATGATTGTTGCGATCGGCCCAACTCATGTGGACAAGATTTGCTAAAATCGGTCCAATAGATATAGTACGGAGAAACACACGCTATCCACGAACTTTGTGTTAACTCATAAGGAATGATTTAACTCTTGATGCTACTTCCATCACCGTCAAGGGGTTCAATGCATAGTACTTTGAACGTGTACATATGGTGATGAACTTGATACAAGTTCAGATAGTGGCATTAAGATCATGTTCGTATCATTCTCCTTCAATACTTTAATTACTCTGTTTGTCCAAAGAAAATAATTTATATTAATTTTTTTTATTTTGGTACAAATTCTCAAAATTTAATATGAAATTTTAAGATTTTGTAGAAAAAAGATTTTTTTAGAAGAGAGATAGTATTTTTTTTTCTCCATCCTGTTTTTTGGATCACAGTTACGTCATTAGAGCATGTTTCTTTTGAAGAATATAAAAAAATTTCTAAATGTACTTGGTATCTTTGTTGTTGTTTCAATTCTCAAAATGCCTAAAAAGTCTGAGCTCTAATAAATGGCTCATTGCCAGCCACTTATTCCTCAACGGTTGATGTTCAGATGCTCTAATACATGGCTCACGGTTCTTCAATTAATCCATATCAAAGTTAACGATTTTGTTCTGGTTAAACTAAATTATGTAAATAATGACTTATGATGCACCACGGAAATGAACAATGCTACTTAAACACTATATTTGAATTTACTTAGGCTCCGTTCGTTTGCTTGGCATTGGGGGTTCGGAATTGGAATTTGGGCCCCCAATACCAAATTCGGCGTTCGGTTGTCAAAAAATAATATAACATTGGCATTGGCCCAATGCCAAAAGGCTTCCAATTCCATGATTTCAATTCCGAGTTTCAAGCTATTATTTCGGATTCCAAAACTCTGTGGAGTTGAACCGTTCGCGGGTTCTAACCGGGTTAATACCGGGCCATAAGCTATCCGAATCTCCCTACCTTTTAACCATTTTACGGCCTAATTCTTTTTTTTTCTTCTCCTCCCATCGACGAGTCTCTGAGCGGACGATATCTCCATCTCCACCGCGGCGCAACATCGGCAACATCAATCTCACTTTGCCCAATAATCCCTGATAAAAATCTCTGGGAAATTATCCTCGGCGTTCCGTGGAACGCCACAAAAGCTGCACTGACAGCAAGGAATTGGACTGCCGGAATACCCTGTTCTGAAGCAATTCGACCTTTTTCTCCGGCTTCCGACGGTTTCCTTCTTCACCATTCAGCATTGACCACCTTGTATGTGATCCTCTTCTCCTTCTTTTTTTTTCTTCATTTTGAATTTTGGGTTCCAATGGTTTGAGGGATAGATTAGGCTTTGATATAGATTTAAGCAAAAAATCTTCGATTCAATTCATTTTCTGATGTTTGTTGTTTGGAGGTGTCCTCTCTGATTCATGCGTTTGAATTCATCGTTACACAATTTTTTATTCTATCCCCAAAACACTTTAAGTTATATAGGTAGGTAGGTTTTTCTTCGTAGGGGTCACTAGAAATAACTAGCATAATTAGTAATTTCTTGGAACAAGGATCGTGTGGCTGATTACCCCAAGGTCTTGTATACCACCAATGATACATGAGTTATATGAGGTTAGTGACAAGTATCATCAGTTTATTACTACTTTTGGAAGCTACAAGATCTTGCTAATCAATGCCCTGCAATTTGTAGTTTTGAATGTTGACAAATTTAAAAACAAGTTTTCTCTTAGACAAGACCCTATGCTACCCATATTTTTGCGCTGTTTTTGACAAGTGTAATCAAACCCATAAATAGGAATAACCACAATCTATGAGGTTCTTACAGATGGAGGAAATCATTTGGCCAATTTCTATGGATTGAAATGGACAGAATTAGTACAGAGATAGACATTTATGTATGTAAATTGACATTTATGTATAACTTCTTTTTTTTTGTGTTTTTTGGCAAAGGTTTACTGGGTAGCCATCATCTTTTCCATACTGTGTGTTTATATTTTGTATCCCATTTTAAGTTATCATCAATTCATCATCATCATTCGGTGTGCATTTCACTTGATGGGGAAGTTCTCGAGAACTGGGTTTCAATTTACTGCTCAAAAGGGTATGTTGAACTTAATATTGTGCTCGGAGTTTTTTTGTTTGATTACTTTAGATTGATTGTATTACTCATGGCCATTGTTACTTCAGTTCGTTACTGAAAAAATGATTCATCAAAGAGATGTTGTTCGGTTATTCGGGTTATTAGTCAGATGACAGTGTGATTTAATTCGGGTCAACCCGTTTTCCACCCGAGGACCCATAACCGATTTTTTTGACCCGAACCCCGTTATTTTGACCCGAATGAATAGGCCTACTTCAAAGGTAAATGTCCTCGTCGCTTTTGAATCTAACCTAATTTTAGCCCAAACGTGCATGTGTTTCCACAAGCCTGATCGATTAATACGACTTGTTCATTTTGGTTTGACGGTTTCTGTTTGTTTTGCTTGGATTAAGGGAAGAAAGATGTATATCATCTCCTCTGTACCGGAATCCTCCACTGTGTAATGTCTTTATCCCCTCAAATCCTCTTTCCATGTCGGTATTAGGGTTGATTTTGCTGTTATGTTTCCTAGTTGGATTTTTCACGGTAGTTTTATTCTATTTTATACAGAAAGGTTAGCCTTTAGTTTCCTTTTTCACGGTGGTTTGATGGCTTCTGTTTGTTTTGCTTGGATTAAGGGAAGAAAGATGTATATGATCTCCTCTGCACCGGAATCCTCCATTGAGGTAATGTCTTTATCCCCTCAAATCCTCTTTCCATGTCGGTATTAGGGTTGATTTTGCTGTTATGTTTCATTGTTGGATTTTTCATGCCTTCACGGTAGTTTTATTCTATTTTATATAGAAAAGTTAGGCTTTAGTTTCCTTTTGTTGAAAACTAGTTCTTCCTCTTTGGTTTTAGTATTCGTCCACATCACTTTTTTCTTACTACTTGATATAAATGTAGCAATTGTATCAACTTTAGGAATTGTAGGCCAGAACCTGTATCAATCTAATTTTGTTGGTTTTCCTCGGACTAGAGGGGAGTAAGAGGGGACCGAAGGGGAGAAATATGCGACCGTGCACTCCACCCAGACCACCCCTACGACCTGCACCTCCATTCCAATGAGGATCTTCATTCATATCTAAATCACCCACGGACACACAAAATTTTTCTGCGCATAGATGGTGTAAGTTTTTTCTTTCGTACCTTTTATCAAGGTCTGATCAGTAAGCTTTGTTTTTTGAATAATTATTTTCTTTGTTTCTTGTAGTCATTTGACCCGGAAGACCCTAAATTCGAAAAGGGAACCACCGTTATGGCGTTTGCTTTCAATGAAGGAATTATGGTAGCTGTTGATCATTCAAGCAAGAGTGAGTTTGTTTACCAAGTTAATTTTATTCATCCGTTCGCCATTTTTCATGTATAGTTCTACTTTGCTAACTTTCCATGTTAAATTTAGCATCAAATTCCGCACGGAACGTTGTTCAACTTAATTCTCGCATGCTGGCCACAATTACTGGAGGAAGGGAATATTTGCTGGAACATGTGAAACAGAGGGTACTTGCTTAGTTTACATTGAGAACCCTATTTCTCCTTCTGTTGTTTTAACGTGCAAGCTAAGGAAAGTGTCACTTGACGCTTTTGTCTAACAATTAAGAAATAAAAACTAAGGCGGATTGGTTGGCGTGCGCTGCAGTGCTCAGAAAAAGAGAGGAAAGGGGAGAAAACATTTGCTAGACATGTCGTGACTTGGCTGAAATCGCGTCTTCAGGAAGAAGCTTGCAAAGAGGATGATCTAGGAATATTGATTGCGTGTGGAACGAATTGGTACTTTTAAATCTTTAATTCTGTTGTATGTTCTGAACTAGAACCTTTCATATCCTAATCTGTAATTGTGTGTAGGAGCATGGCCTGTATCAAATGAATGGTAGAGGTGAAGTGGTTTCAGAGGATATTGTTGCCACTGGATCTGGTTCAGGTGCCATAAGTATCCTGATAGCTGAGTATGCTAAGTATGCTCCCTTCTTGTATATGTGCCTCCTCTGCATTTTGTTTATACTGTGTTGGGATCTAAACAAACTAGTTTCTGGTTTTTCTTGTAGGCGCAAGGGCTTTGGAGGTGTTGCCACTGGAAGAGCCAGCCTGCGCTCCGAGTATGCTCCCTTATCCCTTATGCACTCCTATTTTATTCGCTTTTATGGTGTTGAGTGCTATATTTCCAGTCGAATTTCTGAAAGCAAACTATTTAATGGTTTCTGTAGTAAGCGCAAACGTGGTATGTCTGTAACCGAAGCTGCAGACTTGGCCAAGAAGACTCTTTGCTATGCTGCAGATAGTGCTCCGGTGTATGGGGATGTTGTTACTGGTAAGGTTTTCAATGTCCTGGCTGCTGGCTTCCTTGCCTCCTGTTAGTCTGTTTCTCCATTTATATCCCTGATGTGTGCTTTTCCCTTTTCTCAAGTTTACTACCTAGGAAATGAAGGTTGCAAGAAGCTGCTTGAGGATGATATAGAAGCATGACAAAAGGAGAACATCAAAGGCTCAAGCTAGAGGTTCGAGGTTATAGGACCAGGATGGACTCAGTAGTTTTTAGCCTTTTGGTGGGTGGGAGTTGTTTCCAAGACTGTTTATCAGTTGGAGATATGTTTTATCTTTGGGTCCCCTCTATCTTTTATACCTAACATTTGAACCCTTGGATGTTGACTTTGACGTTCTATGCACAATCTTCTGATTGGGCCTCTTGTTTGAGTATTTTGTACTTGGCAGAGTGGTAATTTGCTTGATTTGTGCATCATCATCAATCCTCTTTCCTGCCATATTCTGCATTTTGTTGATGGTTTCTGTTTACTGTTCTTGGAGGATATGCAAATGGCTTTTTGTATTGAACCATATATGTTCCCTTTACGCCCATTACATTTTCAGGAAAATTAGGTGTTACATGATTATTGAAATAGAGAGATTTCCCTGCATTGTTGTGATATTGTGTTTGCAAATTCTATTATAGAAAAACCAACAATCGCAAAATCTGAACATTCTGTGGCCAGAGGTATGTCCTTTATGTGTGCTACATGTTAATTTCCGCAATCTAAACTGTGAAGTCAATAACGGGCTATATGAGTTACAATAGTGGTTTGATTATCTGTTTGATTTTATGTTATTCCATTGTTGGATATACCCCAACTCACAACATCTGTGGCCTCTGAGTCAAATGAGAATGACCTTGACGCTTGTATTCGCAACAGTGAAGAGGTAAGGTCATTATACATATAATTGCTGGTTGTCCCTGTTATTATTTTTCCAGAATGATGCCTACCCATCTCTTGCCTCATTTATGTTTTCCCTTTCAAGATGTAGTCGCCAAGGAAGCCAACAATGGATGACCATGATGACGATCGCGGAAAAGGTTCGTCCAAGTTTGCGTGGACACCTGAGCTTGAGACAGCCTTAGTAGATATTATGGTTGCAAAAAAAAGAGAATGTCATCAGCCGACTTCCAACTTTAAGCCTGCTAGGTGGACCCAAATTTCAACCGAGTTTAGTAAGGCTATCGGTAAAACTTTAACTGTCGATAGAATCAAGCAGAAACAGGAGAGACTGAAGCGTGAATGGAAAATTTGGGAATAAATTAAAAATACAACTGGTGTAGGCTGAAATGATGAACTTAAAGTGTTTGTTTACCAAGATTAGGCAGCATTGAATAGCGTACGTACAATCATTGTCTTTCTCTTTGCTTTTTATGACTGCGTAAAATGCGTACTTCCTTACTCTATTTGTTGATGTTCACTACTGGTCGGTTCTGGCATAGGCTTGTTATTCTTCGTCAGCATAATGCTCATCCTGTAAATTTATGATGTTCATGTTGCTTTGCACTTTTGGTTAGTCAGAGAGAAAAAAAAATAGCAGATAATAACAAAATAAGATTATTAAAAGTAAATATTGATTACAGACCAACGAAAAAGTATTCACAATAAAAAAATATCAAAATTAAAAATATTGTTTTACATCCTAACAAATGTTTAACAAATTTATTCAGAAAATAAAAAGACAATCATGAGTTGGAGGCGGGTTCTAGGGAGGCAAGGGTGCAACAACATCTTGCACAGAACCAGCAACGTCTTGGGCAGCATGCATACAAAGCAATTCTTAGAACGCATTTCCTTGGTTAGCAATATCAATTTTTAGGAAATTAAGGTCGCGTACCAGGAACCTCCTTTCATCCCTACGCAATTAATGTAGATAAGCCCGCCTTACCGGATCACCCTGATTATACAAAGATCAGCAACTTGAATATAAGTAGTTCAAAACTCCTTTGCTTGTACTTGAATATAAACATGTTGAGTATAGTAATATATAAAAAACACAAACTGTACTAACTCAGTTTGGGAATAACTCATTCAGTCTCATCCTTCTCATTCGTATGTCGCTTGAATCCCTCAGAAACTGCTGTGTTCTTTCCATCATCAACCTCAAAAGATCAACCCTTGCTTGAAGTCGTGCTACATGAAAACAAAAAAATTAGAAATCAATCATGTTTAAGTTGAAAAAAAATAGAATACAAATAAGCGAAAGGGCATACCATTGTTCCTTTCAAGTATTTTTTGATATCTGGTGGAAGAAGACATGTTTATTATACCGAATAAAAGAAAGGTAGAAAAGATGGAATTGCAATTGTGGTAGAAACAGTATGATGATCTCGTTTTTTATAGATGAATTTAATCAATGAACCTGTTGATTTTCTCTCTTCCCCCGAATATTCCACTTCTATGGATAATGAATGTACATTAGGAAATTTTGATGGCTATTTATTTAAAAGGCACATAAATATGGAATTCAGATTGGTCCATGTTAATTGTATATGTGTCTTTTCATTTAACTTCCAGGAGAAGTTTAAGGGACAGTTATTAAATGCCAGAAGCAGTTACAATTAAACATAACTGTCAGAGTCCTTCATTGTTCGTTTCCAGACTGACATTGTTCATTTCCAAGCACACATTATGCATTTCCAAGCCACCATTGTTCATCCTACAAAACTGCATGTTTGTTCACAGGATCGCATGAAATGTACCCGCTTCGCTTTTGGTCTTTTCAGTTTTGTTGACCTTTGACCATCTTATCCAAGCCCATCACGTGACCCGCTCGTGCCCATTGACCCGTCAACCAACCGCCTAAAAGCGGGAAACATGTGACAGGCACGTGAGATCGAGCGGGATAAAGGTTTTTTTAGACCTTAAAAAATCTGCTCCTCTAATCGAAATCCATCCCCCCAATTTCTCTCCTCCACGAGTAGAACCCTAAATCCGGCCGTCAATCCCAAATCCACCGCGCTCCCGTCACCATTATTAAACTTAAGACACAATTCTTAAGACATCTTAAGACAGTTCAATTCTTGTCTAAAATTATTAAACTCAAGACACAATTACTACAAAAACATAAGTCCAAAATAAAGAAACTTTGAGGAATCTCCTAATGACTACAAATCGTAAGTCTCGCATTAAATCTTCTCTTAACGTGTGTAGTTGGATGCTTCACTTGTGCAGTGAACTACGAACACTGGACAGATAACAACTTATTCCTATTACAGTGACCAATTCTAAAATTTCTATTTTACAGTAGTCAAAATCGGCACTTTTTTACTGTTTAGTGATCGTTTTTTAAATTAATTTTTTCACAGTGAATATAATTGACACTATTCAATTGTTTAGTGACTAAAGTTGACACTATTTAATTATTTAGGGTTTAGGGTGTACTGGATATGTTACAATGCCCGGTTCAAAATTCATATTTTACAGTGTCCAAAATTAGAACGTTTCTGTTGTTTAGTGATCGATCCTGAAAGGAAAATCTTACAGAGCCAAATTTGCCAGGTTTTCGTTGTTTAGTGATTATTTTTGAAATTATATTTTTTAAAGTGACTATATAATTTACAGTATCTAATTATTTAGTGATTTGACTCGTACCTGATGTTTCAAAATATAGTTCAAAATATTTTTTTCAAAACCAGCATCCAAACAACTTTTTGCTCAAAATACCATCCAAACAACTTTTTCATTTCCCATTACGTTTTTCATTTAAAACACTTTCTACTTTTAAGTGGCAAAATGAGATATAAGATGACGTCCAGACAAGCACTAAATACTTGAACTCATTGACTTCACTATTTTACACAATAACAGCAGGTTAATTTTAGAGAAAATAACCATCTGTTTTGGCTTGTTAATGGGAATTAAGTTAGCAGATTTTAATTCCAAATGTCATGTACTAATCCTCCAAATTCACTCTCGCATTCACTGACAAAATTAAAGCTGGTTTAACAGTATTTTGTAAAACCACTTGACAAATGTGAGAATGAATGAAAAAAAATACTTGGAAAGAAAACTCAAGATTTGTGGTCCATATGAAATGAAAATATATCACCCAAATTGATCACCAAGGGACAAGAAATGAGCTCCGGTTGCTTCAGGGCTTCAGGCAGTGCCAATGGCACATGCCCAACACGTGATGAATTGAATAAAGTATAAAAAGATTTTTGCGAGAAGCAAATTTAGAAAGTCTAATAACAATGGCGGGAGTAGACGAACTCTGTATATTGCAACCTCACCAGAGCTCGACAACGATTGTAACTTCAAATGGGATGAAAATTCGCAGCTCTATTATCACTCAAGTTCATCTTTTCGCTCCTTTTACAGCTATGATTATATGTAATTTTAGGGTTCTTCTTTACTTGGAGGATCCCCTAGGCCTGCTATCCGTTCTGTCAATCATCGATATTTTTTTATTATTTATTGAGTCAATAATTAGAGCCCATTTTGCATCATGCTATAATAGATTATTGTATGGATAGTTATTCGTTGGTCTGATTTCTTTATTGATTTTTGTTTATTATTATTATTATTATTATTTTGGTTGGTTGATGCAGCTGTGGTTTTTATTATAATCCACATGAATGTTGGTACTACAGCAGCTGAGATGGTTCATATTACAAATTAGAAAATGGGAACTATGTTCCTCTTGTCTCGGAGAATGATCAGGTGAATTTCTTTTTGGGGGAATCTTTTACAATTTTCAATTTGGGTTTTTATTGAGGTAGTGTGTTTGGTTATCTAGGCTAACCGGGTCGAAATGTCTGTTGATGTTGAAATTCCTGGTTTAGATTTCTTCATCAACAAAAAGCAGGGTCTGTGTAATGATAATCTTAGAGAAGATTGTGAAGATCTGGCGGAAAGGATTGGAACAGCTTCTGAGGAATGCTTGAATGGTAAATCACTTGGTCTATGAATTCTGAATCTTCTGATGATATGATCATGGATATTCAACTCTTTCCTGTTAAGGCCTGGCTTTGTTGCTTTAAGGTTTACATGATTAATTGATTACTGATCACCTAGTGCAATAGTTGATGATGATGTGTTAGAACCATTGAAAAATTTCTGCTTTTTGTTCTAATGGTCAAAAGGAAATAAACCCATTGTGTTTTAGCCTACGAGTGAGCAATATGAGACAGTTGGGAGATTTAAGTTTCTGGCCAAAGCATAATGACTTTTACTGACTATAAGAAGGGTACTATAAGCATTGGAGGAGTTGCCAATTTTTACAAGTTCAGGGAAACAGACTTCTTTGTTTTTAAATTGTCCTTGTAAAGTCCCTTACTTATTTTCAGTTGGCAAGACAAAGACTTCAGCAGACTTACAGGGAAAATGAGTCACATCAATGACTTAAACAAGGTTTATTTTTGGGGCTGATGTTTTGTCTTCTGGCAATAAAATAATGAAAAAAATTTTCCTTATGGTCTTCCTCTTTTGATTACTCAGAATAGCTTTAGTGCATTACATGTTAATGAAAGGAAAAATTAAAGTGAAAGAAAGAATAAGAATCTTATAACTACGTAAAATTTTTCTAGGAATAATCTTGCCAATGATGGAAGATTTGTGTCATTAATACATCTAGGCCAACGTATGCAGATTTATATATAGCAACTAAGGGAGGTCAAAAGATGCAATGCTCATCACTAATTTTCCTTGAGCGCTGATGAATATTGCTAAACTACTTAGATACCTTAAATGATTGTGCAGTATGATGAACAGATGACTACGTTACTGATTGACAGTTCTGAAATACAGATGACTGGAATATGTCAAGAATCAAACAACAGAAAGTCGAGTTCCACCATCTGAATGGTAAACCTTTTCAGCCCCTTGTGCTTGGGTGGTGTCTCTATCTCTCAGGTGGCATTTATTATATGTTTGTGAACATGTATCTCAATCCCTTTTCTTCCTTTAGGCTAGAAGATACTCTAATCGATCTTAATTTGTCGGGCTAACCCAACCAAGCTGCCACAACTCCCTCTGATGAGGTGCCTATTGTGACTGATGTTGTTAACTCCTTGGATGCTGCCAAAGATGGTATTATACTGCTGTAATCTTTTTAATACTGACGAGTATAAATCTATCAGGACTCCCGCAGCTCTGCTCGGTTTTGTAGGTGCAGAAGAAGATGGTATTTGCGGATTAGAAGAAGGTGAAAGGATAATTGATGACCATCCTTGCTCTTGCGCTTCAAGCCAGAAAATTACTGATGAAGGTTAGTATTCAGCAAGTTTTGTTAGTGCTCCTGACCCCTGGAATTAAAGGATAAATGATGGAACAAATTCATTTGTACAATCAACTAACAGATTCTGGGGAATATGCCCTTTTTTGAATTAAATTTTGGGATTGTTAAGACTCTTAGTCATGGAAGTGAAAATATTTATCTGTCTTCTTTCATACCGTTTTCCTTTATTCTATTTTTTGAAACTGTGATTCCTTGTGAAACTTTATTTTCTTCTTTAATTTTATATGCCTTTTCATTTTTATTTGTTTTCCCTGTTCTTAGGATTCTGACAGAAACCAAAGGGTTTCTCAGACAGTTGCGAATATATGTTGAGTATATGCTTTTGTGAGTATCTCAAATGAGTTCCAATTTCGGCAGAACTTCTCATAAATCTTTTAAGTCGTTTGTGTTGCACAGGTGTTTCCTGGGAAGAAGAGAATTGGTTGGCACAATATGGTCAAGTCTCTGAAGCAACTGAAATTTCTGATTTGGATGCTCAAATAGCGGATTTATGGGACTGGGAAATCATGCAAGAGAACGGAAAAGATGGAAAGAGTACGGTAGTCAGATTGGCTGGCCGACTGGTGAAAAGTCTGTCCAGGCTTCATCCATCAGTTTCATCAGGCAGAGTTTGACTAAAAACTGCATCAATTCGTGAAGCTCATCTTGATCTCATTTCAGTTACATCAGGTTTACCTCTCATTCATAAAGCTTAACTATTTTTGCTTGTTCTTGGAACTTTCAACTGATGCTTCTATATCGAAATATATTAAGTACTACCTATGGGGTATAGTTACGTGGAACAAAACAAGTTATTTCTTGCTCAATTTTGCTTTTCCAATTACCTAATGTGTTGATTTATTTTGATTGGAATGTTTTTGCTAATATGGCTGCTCAATGAAGGCATATTATTCAGTCCTGTTTGTTACTATTTGAATTTTTTTTTCTTTTTTTTTTTGTTGACAACTTCAGCAAGACATTTTTCCATGTTGTAAAGTTTTAGTAATGTGGATCGCGTCTCATTACGTGTTTAGTTACAAAACTTATTCTCGCAAGGCTAAAATATCGTCTTCTTACAAATCAATCATTCCAAATCGTTTTACGTTTCCTCCTTATTCATTTCAATTTAATTCTCCATTCTACATCCTGTTCAAGTGCATGAAAAGGCCTCTTATCCCACCTTTGCTGCAATTCTCTCCTTTCCATTGTGGAGTTGTGTTGACTAGATGTATGGCAGAACTCTTTGTACACATAGTATTGCTGGTCTTTTCTTTCAATTTTTCAACTTAGTCTTATTTAAAGTGTGATCATACAGTATAGAGATCTATGTCTCAAATCTCAGACCAATGTGTAGTTTAAGTCTAGTATTTTTTTATTTTATTTTTTTTATCCAATTTTAAGTCTAGTAGTTCTAAAGACTCTCGGTTCTGATGCAAGTTACAAAAATAAAAAGAATAATAAAAAAAAGGACCCTTGGCAATTACTTCTCATTTTCATCACCCATGACTATTATCGTCTGCATAAGATTAGTTCTGGAAGACTTCGTAGATGCTTTATCTCATCCATTTCTAAGGTCAAAAGTTCCAAGTCCAGAATTAATCCCTGCAATGTGCTGTACTTCAAGAACTCACATACCAGCCCTACTGGGTCCTTCACATGTTATATCTTTATATGCATCTTCTCTAGTCTTATAGCTAAATGCGCCACATGGCACATTGTACTCCAGTTAAACTCCAACAAATTTTTGTACTTGTAGATCTAGTTTCTTCTAGTTATAAGGCTTGCAAAGTATTTTTATTGGAGGTACAATTTTCATGGTAGCTCGCCACACTAATGTTTTGTTTCTTTGTTTGTAGATTAGTCTTTTTTCTGAATATTCTATTGCTCTTTCCTGTATAATTTTTATGCATAAGTCATTGATATAATATCCTTGTAATTTGAACTATTTTATGCATCTCTTTTGTTTGTAAAAAACTACAAATTCGCCTGCAATGTTTGAAAATTTTCTCAAGTGTTCAATATAATCTTAAAATAAATTCATAAGCTTGAAATCTTAGTTCAAAATTTATCCCTGCTAAGGGGCCTTTCTAATTTAAGTGTACATGTATAACATATAATAAGAACCAACATCATAGGCTTACAATCCTTTTCTTAATTTAGAAGTAGGTTAACAAAGCAACTCCTGAAATGGCTAACCAAGGGTTAGAAAGGAAGGTTCAAAGGGCTCTTTTGAATAATTATTTCTGCTATCAGCTTTTCTATCTGAGGAGAGAGGAACAGTCCTTGGATCTGTTTTCGGTTTAACTCCATCCCAAATGGCTGCCCAATTCAGCCTGGTCCTCCTTAAGCTCTTCTACTGTATACACCTCTAATATTTTTTCACATGTTTCATACATTCTCTTTTTCTTCTTAAGGTAAGGTAAAGGGCCATATATGGTGAACTATGATTATCCAGTCGGCGATATTTTTCGCTTGACCAAGAAGTATTATGTGTCCGAGTCGCACGGCTTTTTAACTGGAAAAAATATCTTGGACAATTCATGCCTTTCTGTGGAAATGAATTGAAAAAGAAAAGTACCATTTCAATTTTCGGTTACATTTGCTCCTGTTTTCTATACCTGTATATTGTATAAAGTTTCCGTTTAAGCAGGCCAGGTGTACAGGCTTAGGAGGCCTAGCTTACAACATTCGGCATCTGTGTTGACGTATGATTCTTCAAATCCAACTAAAGATTGGGGCTTTCCTCAGCTTTCAACCTATAAAGGGACGCGGCAACTCATCCTGTTGATGGTCATAATCCTTGTTTTGAAGCTTCTGCTTCAGCCCATGCATTTAAGGTGAATTCAGTTCAGATAAGCTTTTGTGAATTCTGGTATTCTCTTCTTAGGGAAACCAATTCCCATCTACCCTATAGACCTGTAACTTTTTCTATTAAACTTTTTCCGAGCCGAGAAAATAGCCCAAACATTTTGGATATTTCCTTTTTCGTAGCATTGTTAAATGGTTAGGTATTAAGGTTCATGACTGGAGCAAGTTCAACATTCTATTGCATTGTTTTCCATTGTTCCTCACCTAATTATGTTCTTGATACCTGATCTGAATCGGAGCATTTTTTCACCTCCTAAATGAGTACATGGAAGCTATTTACTTGATTGAGCTTGCTTTTTTTTTTGGTGGTATAGTATCAATAAAAATAAGCTGAATTTTACTCTGCCGTGTGCATGATCTGTAGTCTTTAAGAAATTTATGACTATGGCAGAGGTTCATGCAACTTTCCAATGGGAAATTTGGAATTCTTTTCATTTGTATTCTAGCATATTCTTCCAATGACTGTTATGGAATGAAGTGGATTGGGCGATACTAATTTCTTTGAGTGTGGATTCTTAAAATTTTGTCTCGAACTGGAAGTTTTTTTTATTGTTTGGTTTGTTTCTTTCCATATTTCTAATTAGGGTTGTTGAACTGGAAATCATCTGATCGAATTCTAACAAACATGCGACTGGTTTTGATTAGATGTACATTTCGGTGTAAAAACTTTGAGAATGCACCTCGTGCAGTAAATTTCACTTGGTTTGGTGTTTTCAGTATAGATTGGGAAAGACTGTGTACCATCTATTTAGATTATAACCCAAAACCTTTTGAGATTTTACTTCTGGCTGTGCTCCATCATCTCCTACTTTAGATTGTCCAGAAGAAGCTGCAGCGAAGTCAAATAGCATTTCTTTTGGAGCAGGTAGCTATGCCAGAAAACTTCTTGAAGGAATTGGGTGGAAGGAGGTTACAACCATTTACTATAATACGAAAGGTTATTCCAATTTCGTTTTTTCAGCAACTCATTGACTGCATTTCTTCGGATGATGATTCACAGCTGAATTTCTTTTGATAAATCATCATGAGTTTGTTTGCCAAAAGAAAACTTAAGAAACATAACGGAGGTAGTGAATGTTCATGTCTAAATATTGGGAAAACGCAGGGTGATTTCGGATTGCGTCATGTCTGAATGTCTTTTTGCACAGGATGAGGCACTTGGCAAAAGCACGAGGGGTTTGATAGAGCCACTGCAAGCGGTTGGAAACAAAGGAAATGCAGGATTGGGTTGGGATAATGGCAGAAAAATGTGATCCTGATAGAATGTAACAGTATTAGGTCGCTTGTAAAAATATTTGATATAAATCATTATTGGCAAATACACATAGGTGGTGCAACGGGAGATAAACTTCGGCAAGAACCGCCTTTAGGATTTCCATGATCGACGCAGTCTTTGAAACAATCAGCGTCAAAGCAAAAGCAAAAACAGAGAGGTGGGTTATCTGGAGAAATTCTTTTGCAAGAACCGCCTTTAGGATGTCCAGAAACGACGCACTCTTTGAAACAATCAGGGTCAGAGCAAGAAGGATCAACAATGGTTTTTCTCCCAGTTGGATGGGCTGCTTCACCTTTTCCGGAAAAAAAAAAACCCAGGAAAATAAAAACAAATTTCCAACAATAAAAATGGTTTTACATGTTCGAATTTTTTCATATAAACTAATTAAAGAATACGCTAAAATAAACAATTTTTTTTTATTAAAGGAACTGTTTTTTTACCTGTACTCGTGAGCAAAGTAAGACACAAGAGTGTCAAGAAGATAGAAAACAAAAGTTTAGATCCCAACATGGTGTGATTCAGCAGCAATTTGGGGGAGATTATCATTAATTTGTTTGTTAATTTCAGCTATCAAATAGTTTGTACTTATAGATAATTGATAACACAACCCCTCCCAAAGAATGTCTCTTGGACGCAAAAATGTTTCCTTTTAATTATACAAAGATCTTTATGTATATCATCGGTTAGACTAAACAAAACATTGTAAATTTATGAAAAAAAATTTGGAAATACTTTCTACTTATCTTTTGAAGGAAAAAAACAAAAATCGAGTAGGTTTTCGAAAGAGCATATCATTTTTGCCTTTAAACATTCATGTGGCTTTTGAAGTAGGTTTTCCAAGCGTGTCTAATTCTTTTAACTGATTGCACAAATTATGGTATTTCACCCTTACTGGATACCTTAATTCATGCTTAAAATTTAGGTATTCTAGGAGATTGAGCCACGAGTTATGCACGTAGTGCTTAACGGTGAGCAACAAAATTGAAATTGAAGGATACAACAAAATAGAAGGTAAAATGAATTAAAAAATACAAATATAAACTAAATGGTACATTTCGATATCAAAGCGAGTCCTTACAATAATGAAGATGCAGATTCTGATTGCATTTAAATTCAATTTATATACTTACTTTTAGCATTACATTATTCTGCAAAACTCAGTTTCTTTTACGTTTACATTGTAAATCTTCACATTATGAGAAAATGGAAATACGAAAAGAAAAAAAGATGAGATACTTTCTCCGTCTCATAATTATTGTCAAGTTTGGAATTTCATTTCTAGTTCAAATTGTACTAAAAATAAAATATCAAATTGGACAATAATTTTGGGATAAAGGGAGTATAAAACTTGTAGAGAATTAGATCACTGGTTGTTGTTGGCTTGACGTATATACTTTTGATGATCAAACAAATGAAAACATTTCTATCTTCAAATATATAAATATTAGTACTCCGAAGTTACCAAAAATCTTTGTTAATTACTCTCTGTTT